CCTTCCTCGCGTCTATATCGCGGCGGTAGCTGCGAGTCGCGAGAGCTCGACCGCCAGCTCGTACACGACCCCGACCGCCTCCTATTTCAGGGTACTTTCAGTTCCGTTTGGATACCCGATCACAGAACGAGGCGGTTTTCTCCCCCCCCTCTTCTCTATCTTTGTCTATTACTATCTCTCTCTTTCTCTTTCTCTCTCTTGCTCACTTTTTCACTCGCCCACTCTTACACCTTCTCACCCTCTTTCTCTCCTTTTCCCTCCCGCTTCTCTCTCTCTTTCTCTCTCTCTCTCTCTCACAATCACTTTCCATCTCTCTCGTTCCTCCTCTCCTCTCTCCGTCCTTCTCTTCCTTCCTCTTCGATCTCACTCCCTCATTCTATCTATCTAGCTGTTGCCCCCTTGGCTCTATCCGCGCACACGCCTCGCTTCTGTCCGCTTCACCTTTTTCTCGGCCGCTGTCTCAGTCTACCGCGAGTCGCCTACGTCTGCTTGTAGACCTCGTAACGTGGCCGCGTGTGATAGTGTATCAACGATCGTAGTTCCATTCGCTTGAACTCGTCGTCCGGNAGCCAGCGCGCACACCGGCTTGACTTTGCCCCGCCGGTGCGTGAGATGTCCGTTCCACGTACCTCGTACCACCTTGTGAGAATGCGTCCAGGAATCAAGTGATCGCGAGTATCGACGAGCTCGACGTCGTCGTCGTCGAGTGACGAGTGGTGACAGAGGTAATCTGCGCGAGACCCAGGAATACGCACGGTATTCGTAGAAACGCGAACGATGACGAGGCGGTGTCAGCGTGGATTCGAGGTATAGCGGAGATCTCGAGGCGATGCCAGTTTCGAGGAGGAGGCGGTGAGAAACGATAAAGCAGCATGATTTTGTACGAGAATCTGGAAGCTGGCGGACGCGTAACGAATGAGAAAAGGGAAACGAAGTGCTGTGAGAACATTTGATGTAAGAGCAGCGAGGGTGTATAAGTGGGAGCAGCACGCTTGGCCAAGTTGCCTGGATACGGGCAGCAGCACCGTGTTGCGCTCCGGTGAAGTAGGAGGAAGCGAAGGAGGTGGAAGGTGGTGCTAATACGCGAAAGGATGGAGGGTGCAGTGGACAGTAGTGGGACGAAGAAGACGATGCACGAGGCCGAACAGGCTACGAACGCAGGCTCGTGCCGCGTCCAAGAATCGCGATAGCATAGCTGCCTTCTTCGGATACGATTGCGTATGGTAATCGTGGCGACAGAAACGTTGCTCATTCACCCAACAACGCGCCCGGCTCTCTGTACTCGAGATCCGGCATCGAGCACGAAAGCTCGAAAGCCTCTACGAAGCCTCTCGATTGGCAGGAATGACCGATACCTTTCGGCTCGAACTGAACAACTTCTTTAACTTCTTTCACGATTCTTCCTCGATTCTCGCTTCTCCAGTGAATTCCCGATGAGAAAAATTTTAGATTAGAGAACAGGAAATAGTAAGAATAGTAAGTGTCGATGAGAAACGAGAAGTGTGTTCGTATAATATATCCCGTTCTTATAATCGTACTTCCTTAAAGGAAGAGTGTGATAGTGAAATATCGAATTCGTGATTGAATAAGGAGAAAGGAAAGGGAGGCATTCGTATCGAATATATATACGCCGCTTGTCACGAACACCTGTGAATCGAGCACGGCTCGAAAACACTTATGGAATTCTTTTTACATACACGGATGCAACGGCCCTCTTTCCTCGTACAACGCGTTCGTTCGATGCGTGCCTGATACTACGCGAAGAGCTAATACCGTTGCCGTGTAATTGATAAATGATATCAAGTGACAGAAGCCGATCGCAATTGTAGGTACGTTCGTATTGACAAGTTAGAAATAGGTATCGCAACTTTCCAGACTTCCAGAAATTCCTATTTTTTTTTTTTTCTTTTCTTTTTTTCGTCCTCGTGAGAGCGTATCTTGCGGTGGCTGAGAAATGTGTTTTCCGTGTTCCATGACTTTTCCGATCCGTGTTTTCTTCGTAAACGAATACAGTTTCAAGAGCTCTTTCCTTTCGTATCGTAAAAATTGAGGAAAAATGTAACACGTTTGAGTATCATCGGAAGAGATTAAAGTTGAGCACTGCTCGAATATCTGGGCCGGATAATTTATTACGTAAAATCGTTTAAACGTAGTATTAAATAAGAAATTCGGGAGACAGGTAAAATAATTTTAAATTTCAATTGAAGTACATTATTTGAAATAAATAGGCGAGAATACCTAGATAATTTACATCACAAAAATTTTTTTAAATATAATAAATTATCTCTTTGAACTTTTAAGATCAGCTGTATCGTGCAGGCATTTAAAGATATTCTACCCTTTGGCCATTGTCATTGTTTACAGCTTATCACTTAAATATATATAAAAAAAAATTTTGAAGCTACAAGTGTATAGTTAAATTCCTTGAAACGCAGAGTTAAATAGAAAATTTAAAAAACAGATAGAATAATTTCAATTTTCAATTGGATTTATTATCAGAAATAAATATAATTTCTTGAATTTTGCATTCGAAAAATAATCGTGATTGAGCCTTGAAATAGAGCAACAATCTTTTTGATCGAAGCATGTATGGTTCGCATAGTGGTTGAACGGTGATTGATCAGGATACACGAAATTTCTATCCACTTATAGCCAAACAGCTAATCAAGAAGTTGGCTATAATTCAAGAGAATCTTTCGATTTCTGGATGTTTGTAAACTATAGCTATCGTACGTTTCATGAAAAAAAATAGTAAACATAGTCAGCTTTAATGTCGTTTTGTGGAGAAATTCTATTTCCCGTTCATTTCAATCTTCAAAGTGGTGATTTGCATACTAGATATAGTTTTGTACAAAACTATATAGGCACGTGTATACAGTTCCGTAAAATCTATTTCTTGAACATGGAAACACGTAAATTTTTACCAGAATTAAAGGGAAACAAGTTTTAAATGAAGGTTGAAAAATTTAAGTTTCCATATGCATATTAGTGAGACGAAGAATAGGAATTTCTGTGGAGAATATTATATTGAATTTTAGTTTTAAAAACGTTTATTTCAGGATTAATATTCAATAGTTAAATAATTAGATATTTTAATTAATCTTTTATTTTGATCAACAAGAATTGAAAAGATTGACTTTAATTGATTAAAGAAAACAATTCTAATAATGCAAATGATTTATTTATATGGTAAATAGGTGGCAAATAATTTAATTATATTTTCGATAAGATAAAAAACGTTTGATTTGATTCCTTTTAATCAAATCAAACGTTTCGTTATTGTGATTTTTTAAAGATATTTTTCTAAACTTATTTATACATTTTTATTTTTTATTTGTTGCTATTATAATTGTTATTAAAAAAATTAATATTGTTAAATTTAAATATCGTAAATTTTCTATACACAAGATATTCAAATATAATATCTTTATTCTCATTTCAATCGTAGCGTATGTTGTTTCGTTAACACGATAGAAATTGACTTAATACGTTTCAATACATAACTTTTCTCACGAAAGAGAAATTTAAATAATCGTTGATATTGTAATACGAAACAATGTTTGTAGACGATAAATTACAATAGCAATATATTTGTTCAAACTTTGAAGAATCATATTAGACAAAATGTTATCCTAACAAAGTAATATAGAATCGTAATATAGGAAATAATAATTATGATTTTTGAAATTCGTATTTAAAGTGATAAATTTGAAGTGAAAAATCTGGTTTTTCTTAAAAATTAAGATATATACATGTTTTTCCATTTAAGTAAACTTAAATATTTGTGAAAGATAACATTTGCCATGTAATTTAAGAAAAAAGAAAAAATGATAATTTTATTAAGGTGGTATAATAAAGTGATATTTTATTTTCTTTAATGAAAAATTTGACTTCAAATAGAAATAAGATAGAATATGATATATGGGCAAAAAGTTAAAAGAGAATACAGAATTTAACGTATCATTCCTATATGATTTCTTCATATCATTTTAGACTATTCCTATTTCTTCTTAGCACAAAAGTTTCCAATACCTTCATAAAATCTAACAAAAAAATTTCCAGTCCCAAAAATTAAAATTAATTTTGTCATAAAAGAATTAACATCATGTCGCGTATACACACAATGATAAAAAGAGCAAGTAGTACAAAATCATTTATTCTCTTTCACAAATCAATAATTCCCAGATCTCCACCATTTTAAAATCATATTTCTCCAGTACAAAAATTTAATTAAAAAATTTTCGCTTTTAATCTATAGTAATTTCATCAAAAGAAACCCATTTTTATAAGAAGATTTATAGAAGATAAAAGATAGGAACAAATAACTTCGTATACTCTTATAAACCAGTCATTTTCAGATATATCTAAAATCAAAAATCGTATCTCTCCTCTTGGCGCAAATATTTAACGAAAAATTTCCGTATACTTTACGATCAAATCCAGCGACAAATTCTCCGGTTCCACCCCGTCCCAGTAGCCTCATCAAAAATGAAAAGCCATCAGCATGTGAGAAAATTCGCAAAAGTAGCACGACACAAAACCATTTACCCCTTCCTCTATTGTCAATCAATTATTTTCAGGTGTATAACGCGAGCATGCTCGACGCGTGGCGAGGTTCGACACGGACCTAGAACTGCGGTGACGATAGGAAGAGGCAGAGCAACGGCAGTAACGACAACCATCAGAAGGTTGGCGGGTCGTGTATACGTGAAAAGTGGGAAGGTAACGATTGGTTATGACGGCAAAGTCGGGCGGCATCTATCCGGGTTCATCGTTGTGACGATTAGACAAAC